ATATATATATATATATGGGGACTAGATAAAAATGATCTGTAGTTAGCCATGCAAATGCGCAATTGATCACCTTTATAATGCAGAACTAAGGTATAATTTGATGTTACTAGTGGAGAGCCAAAATTCACAAATAGCATGTGGGCCGATATGACAGTTACATATCGGTGCAATCCATTACATTATATCAGTCGAAAACCAAACAAATCAGACTGAAACCTAAAACCATGACCCACCGATCTTCAACTAAAATTATTATGATACGATTGAGATTACATGAGAAGTACAAAACATTGAAAGAAAAAAGAAAGAAGAAGTTCAAAAAAAAGAGAGAAGGAGAGTACGGGAGAGAAACCCGTTTTTGTATTGTTGGTTCAAAGCTGGACAATGGGAGATGAAGTACAAGGCAAGCCCGGAGCAGAGGGTGATAACTGAAATCTTTGAATGAAGCCGTACATCATCTGGACACGAGGGATGCGATGTATTTTGTAATGGTCTTCTCCTTTGTATGGCTCCAGGGTTTTCTCTCAATTTCACCTGATCCCCCTTCGCCACTTCTTGCCCCCCCCCAAATTCATTGAGAATACGTTCAACTATGTCCGCAATCCAGTGAACCATGCACAACATGAAAAACTGCTCTTCAGGGAATTATAAACTCTCTTTGCAAGAGTGGTTTTCCCCACTCCACCCATCCCTACCGATGAAAGCACTTTGACGTTTTGGGTTTTGATTTAGTAACCAAGATTTTAATTTCCTTACCGGCTCGTCGATAGCCGTGATATCATCTTCCTCCTCCTCCATAGAAGAAAATGTGAGACGTGGATCTTGCCAATGTTCGATTGAATCATTTGAGGATGTTCCTTCTTCTTGTTCCACTTCCAATTGGTACCTCAACCTCCCGTCAGAAATTGCTTGAACCCTCCTCCTAGTGCTCTGTATCTCAGTCACGAAGTTATGTGGATAATAGAAGGGTGCAGTCCCTTTACGCCAATTATTAACAATTGCATTTCTGGTACATTGAATTATTAACAATTCCATATCCTTGTGTTGTTAACAAATGGAAATTGGGAAGAAGCTTCGCATTTGAGCATTTTTCAGTTCACCTAATATTACCAAAATGCCACTTACTTTAAACCAATTCAAAAAGGAAAAGAAAGGATAAGAAAGCCTCCTAATAGGGGTTACTAGTGCATGTTAAACAAGGCTCCAACAACCTCTGTCATCAAGTACATCTCGATGATGAGCAGACCATGAATTAGGGTGGCCAATGGGTCACGTCTGGGTCCAGTCTATCAATTCCACAAGGTCAGGGCCAGACTGGACCCAAACCAGATGGTCTGGTTGAAATTATATTATATTATATAGTATAATATATGTAATATATTTTAGGTTGGTTTAGGTTAGGTTGACTCAGTGTTTAAAAACTCGTCGAGTCGAGCTGGACCTGTCCGCTTCGATTCGGGAATCGTTTGATATCGAGCGGATTTCACGAAAGAATCGGGAATCGCCCGTGTCCAGAGAGAACCGGGAGATTCCCTATAGTGAATCGCGAGTCTCACCGAGAGTGACAAGTGCGATTCCCAATAGTGAATCGCGAGTCTCACCGAGAGTGACACGTGGCAGCCTCACTCTTCCTGGCGATTCCAATAGTGAA